TCTGGTCTAGGTGTTAAGTGCGCCGCAGAGCCGTCAATTGCGTCAGGATTGCTGGGATTACTGGTGTAATCCCCTAGGGTCTTAAGCCTTTGGGCGCCTTTTTTGTTAGACAGGATTAGGCAATACTCGTGGCTCAGGCACAGGTACAACAAAGAACAAGTTGCATAAGTTTGACCAACTCGGGTGACTGGTTCCATATGGAAACGAAATACGATTGTCTGTGGTCGCGATAAGTTTCTTCTGAAAACCTATCTTGTAACGGAACGGAAATGTAATGGAAGATTACTTTCCTAGAATGCAAAAGGAAAGAGTTCAGGGCGATTTCTTGGAATTAAGGTTGCATTTATCAGAAAAGAATGTAAACGTAATGTTTCGCATTAGTAATATTACAATTATTTGAATATTTAAAGTTGTTAAAAGATACTCTTTTGTATATGAGTTTTATTAAAAAATCATACTTAAAAAACACTTTTTATATTACATTTAATACAGTTTCCAAAATGAATTTATTGATATGTTACACTTTTTTTCTAATTGTACAAACTTAGTATCTACCGCATTCATCAGATGAATACTTTTACAAAACTGAAATATGTATAAATGAAGATATCTGTTTTTCAAACTCTAAGCCCTTGTGAATATAAAAGATAACTTAAAATAAAAACCTTTATTTAGAAAAGGTTACGAGTCCCTTAAAAATCGTCAAGATATTTGGAAGTATAGACATTGCGACCTAAGATCATGCGGAATTCTTTGTTTTATCTTATTATCAACCCCCATTGCCTTCGATTCGCTCGACAAACATCGAAGCACGCATATTCATAAATACAAATCCCACCCTCAGCATTCTGGGTGTATCGACATAATTTGGCCTTGAGCGGTTCAAGTTCGGCGGCGTCACTCGCACAGAGAAAAACAAAGCGGCGAAATGGAAACAACACAATCGAGCACTCAAACAAAGCTGTTTCGCTTTTGAATATTGAAGCTGCAATCTGGCACCCCCTCAACCCACAAAAAGCAAAAAATAACACCCGCACATTGGATGGGATCGGATCCAGTCACAGTCGCAGTTTTTGGTTCCAGTCCCATTCACAGTCCCCTAAGTTCCGTTCCCAGATAGCGCAGTTCAAAACTGAATTTACTTTGTTTTACTTTTGTTTTTTCTCATTTTATTTCGTTTATTTTTTGTACTGTCAAAGTTCCGGCTGAGCGCCAGACATGGAACCGCACATGCCAGAGCTTCAAGTGATGTTTTTTTTGCTGCATACGCTTATGTGTACAATGAACGCGCCTTGTGGGTTGGGTTGGGTTTGGTCGCATTTAGTGACTTTATTGCGCATACGCCGCGTGAGCCATTGGAATGGCTATTTACTGTTTCGTCTCTGGTTGCCTTGTTTTGATCTGCCACTGGCGCACACCCCACAAAAACCCGATCCACGATCGACGATCGGCAACCAAGTGGGTCATTGGACGAGCCAAAATATTGCGTTTGCACGATTATATCGACCTTGGCCGACCTTGAACGTCGTTAAAAACATTGTTAGCTTAGCTCGTTCAATTGCCAATAACAAAATCAAGAGCGGTCGTAAAAGAAAACGTTATTACCAATTGTTTGGGCTGTTGTGATTGGCCCTACTATTTGTCTAGGGCTATTTGAAGAAAGGAATTGGAGAAATAGTTCCACAACATACGACACTATCATTAACAAAATTAAATTGTTTTAATATAAAATATAGTTTCATGTTCTTGTAAAAAAATTTATATAGTACTAAGTATTATTTAAAAACAAAAGATTTTCGCTTTCTGATCTATTTATTCAAAACATCTTATTTCCAGCTTAATTTAAATAACATATTATCAAAACACCTTGGCAGAAAGGCAAGAAAATGCCTAAAAAAATAAATTTAGAACCTATTAAGTGTTGTTTTTAGATCTGCCCCTGTTATTGTCTGAAAAGCAAGGTACTAAAGAACCAAAAGGAATGGTGGTATTTATCTTAAAAACAACTTAAGTGACCTCGCATGCTATCCAGAAGCCAGATTCTTGGAACTGATAATATTTAAAAGAATCTCATATTTTTTTAAGACCATCCTAATTTATATTCAATTTAATCATCATGAAACAATCACGCCACTATAATTTGACTACCGAAATATAAGCTCGACTCCATTTGGATATTTCCATATATAATAATAGTAATTAATATGAAGCCAGTGTACGGTCGCAGCCAATTATAAATCAACAAATGATACCCCAACCAGTCTATAGCTTTCCCCCTGTCTATCTGTCGATATTGTCGCTTTTTTTGTCCTCTGTTGTTGTTATGATTTGGCCTTACTATGCTAGGGCTACTGTATAATTCCCGGCCGCAAAAAAAAAACCGAATAACCGAAAATAAACAAAATATTCAAACAAATAAGCGAACAAACAAGCTGCTTCTAGTTATTTGCGACTGATTTATGGGGAATTCCAGGTGCGTCAGCTCGAGTGGTTCTGTGGGTCGTAACTCTGTCACTGACACCGAATTGGGAGTCCAACTGTCAAAGTCAGTTTCCCCTGAAAAAAATAATAAATGTTTTATAAAATGTAAATAGCTCGCAAGGTAACAAATAAAGCAAGCACGAGATAAACCCGAAAAAGTCTTGCGGAGGGGGATTAGTATGACTTAGACTTTGTCCTTTAGGGGGTAAATGTTTTCCAGAAAATTATAAAAATAAGTTTACAACCTCTTCTCTTTAATCTTTGTCACTACAGGCTATCAGCTAGCCTGGACTCTAGCCAAAAATTCTGTTTTGCTTTTTAAAATGCAGCTTTTGTAGTTGTTTTATTGTGGTGTGAGTTATGGTGCTAACCTTTATTTCTTTACTTATAAATCTTTTTTTTTGTCCACCAGCGAAATTCCAAGCAAGGTGACTTTTTCCGCCGTCTGCTTATTTCTGGGTGCGAATTTGAAATGCAAATTTTTTGCCATCGGACTCTAGGCCCCGATCATAAGGCTCACAGATCTTGGCTTATATGCGAGTATGTGGATTTCTAGTATTTTCTGTGCACATAAAAATAAAAGGTATTAATTAACAATAAAAATAACTTGACTGGAGGCACGCTTTGGCGTTATTTCATCGGCTTCGGGGCACAAATGAGTAACAAATGAGACAAAGCTGCCAAAAAATCACATAAACCTCAAGAAAGCAACCGTCCAATGGGAACAACAATGCCACCGATCTTCAAACCGAAACTCTTTTGTTATTTGTGATATTTTTGGCACTGTTTATTTATTTATAAAGCAGTCACAGTCGCAGTCACATTTGTTTTTCTTATGGGCACAATCAATCTATGGCGCGAAAGCCAAAAATAAATCGATCGCTAAGACTTAACCGCAAACTTAGCGCCTTGGGCTCAGGCGGAGATATCGTGGCCCGACTTTATGACGCAAGTATCACGTCTGGGGATACTGGATATCCAATAATTAATATCCAGTAGCCAGCTGCCGGTGGAGTTAATCCGACCGATCTGACCGATCCGTTGCTAAAAAGTCGTGAGAAGGGCCACCACTGTTGACAATTCACACCCATGGACCGTCTAGAGCGGAAGATTTTTTGTTGGATTCCTACGCCATGGAAAACTACAGAGAGTTTCTTAGACCCCAGACCCCAATTTGCTATCATTAGATAGACTCGCTCCAGCGTATTTACAGGCTTTTACGACTTTTAACACCTGATAACATTTGATTTAGATGTCACAATTAGCAGATGACAAAAATTTCCATATCAGTGTGAATCTCTCTGTCTGGATTGTCAGAAGGTATTTTTGATGTTCGTTCCGCTTCGTCTCAGAGGTTGGCCTATTTTTAGAAAGGCCACGTGCAGCTTGATATCCCATAATGACATTCTAATCATTTTGAATAAGAGGCTAAGAATTGACAGGGCTTTCAGGAGTAACTAACCAACAGAATGGCAAGGTTTTGAAAGAAGTAACTCATTAAGAGCATTGAATAAGTATAAATAATTACACAAATATTTACTTTGATTTACAAGCAAAGCATTTCCTGAGATTATTGGTTTAACAATTAGTCAGTAGACCATCACATTCAAATGATTCGTATGAAGTGGCAGAACTTTGATAAGCCTATTAAACAGTTCCGCATAAACAACGCTCCTTATAAGGTCACGCGAATGGGCATTATCGATTGGTAATTGATAGGGTTGTATCGTGGTAATATTTTAATTTTAGCTATCACATTCAGCACCCTCCGTATGGCAACATAGCAAGTATCACCATCCGGAAATGAGTCGAGCCCCGAAAAAACGAAACTTGTATGGTGTCACGCGATTAGATCCGCACTTCGAACGGATATTAGATGGGTGGGTGTCTGATTTGCCAGACGAAATCATGCTGATTGCATGCATCGTACGATCTGTTGGCTGATTCCACCTCGGGTTACTTGAGTTCCGGCAACCGGCGGCTGACGTCAAAGTCTTTAATCGAAAGTCGAGGCAGTATGACCCACATACAAACATTGAAAGCACAAGTGTTGGCCTAGCCCTTAGTAGCTGACTAAAGTCGGCCCGGGAACCCAGATAAGGCACCAAAAGAACGCGGTTCCCATGCACCGCACCACGTACTCCTTGACGGGGTGTAGAAACACACTGTGAAAAATAGTCTGTCCCTAGATGGGAAAAAAAGTTTAGGGGTATACGTTTTATATTTTTTTGTACCAATTTTTTCAGATAATCTTAGGTCTTCCTTAAGAAGTAAACAAAATCTAATGCTTTCAGTATAGGGTTTTCTCATTTGTATAAAAAACTTTCTACAAAAAAAAAAAGGTCTTCGTATTTTAAAAGAACTTGAACGAATAATACCTCTATAGATTCCGAAAATTTTGCTTTGGAAAATGTTTTTTATATAATACTTTAAATATAAGTTCCCTAGCTTTATATGTATATTATAATAGACATAGATATACCATGTTTCCTTATAAAATATTAGATTGGTTGGTAAAAAATAACCCCTTTCTTTAAATGGTAAAATCTTAAGCAACACATGTTTTTTTCAGTGCTTTTGCCGAAGGCGTCTACGTGCGCTGCAGTGCGGAGCACGAGCCGACAGTCGTTAATTTCACCATTCGCCTCCGCGCACAGTGAGTACTCCGATAAGCCGCCCGCATGGTACAGCACATGTGAGTGAATATTTATATATATATAGTCGTATATGACTGATTGTCTGCCGAGGCCCAAGACGTCGGTCGTCGTAAACAGCTTATCAGGTCGGTGAGGCGATGTGGTTACCCGTCGAAACCGCTGGAACGGCGACCAGATCGAGAACCTGTCACAGACAGGGGCCGAGACACCGGCGGCCACATGCAATAATCACCCGGTGGAGCAAAGTACACCGGCCGACCGACGTCATTGTGGAACGCTGACGCAACGACCTTGTCGAACGGCCCACCTCCCGGCGATCCCACGACCCACCCACCTTGATGACGCCAGCCCAATGTCCAACCTGCCGCCGGTGAGTCACCAGTCGCCAGTGACTCCCATTTGGTTTAATTCGATGACTGGCAATCTTGCGGATCACATATTGCAGGATGTTGGACGACTTAGCTTTTCTCGGAATCTTGAAATCCCACTGAGCAATGCAGTGAATTTGATGGGGAATGCAAGGCGGAACTGGCTGGGATTACGATTGGATTTTAGTGCGGAACTTAGGTGGTTTACAATATTATATTCCCAAATCATAAAGCCTAGACTATCTATGAACACTTTATATTATTCAAAACATAATAAGTCGTATTAGTTTTTTATACATGGTACCATAGTAAACCAACTACCATAACTTCGACATCTTATTATTATTATTAACTTATTGTCCCTTGTCTAGGTTATTTTAAACAAAATTTTACGAGCTTACAATTTTTAAGTATTCAAAAAAGTTAACAAACAGCTATAAGAAACCACCATATCATTAACATACGAATTCTAACCGACTTAAGTGATTTGTTTTTGATGGATTTGAAAGATACAAAATTGAAACATCGCTAAACTTTCAATACCAAGCCGCAGACAAACTGAGAATCAGCTTATCGATCATTAGTTCTCTTTTATTTTTAGAAAAACCCTTCTTTATATAACATGATCATCCGACCCGTTGCCTCTTTCAACAGATTTTGGCCAGACATGCCCTGGGGCCATATATCTACGGCCAAAACACAGACACCACACACATTGAAAGCCGAGATTTTTTAGATGATGCTTTTTCCAGTCGGGCTAAGGTGGTTATTATACCCGTTACTCGTAGAGTAAAAGGGTATACTAGATTCGTCGGAAAGTATGTAACAGGCAGAAGGAAGCGTTTCCGACCCCATAAAGTATATATATTCTTGATCAGGATCACTAGCCGAGTCGATCTAGCCATGTCCGTCTGTCCGTCTGTCCGTCTGTCCGTCTGTCCGGATGAACGCTGAGATCTCGGAAACTATGAGAGCTAGGCTATTGAGATTTGGCGTGCAGATTCCTGAGCTTCTTACGCAGCGCAAGTTTGTTTCAGTAGACTGCCACGCCCACTCTAACGCCCACAAACCGCCCAAAACTGTGTCTCCTACAGTTTTGATGCTAGAATAAAAATTTTAACTGAAATGTAATGTTCTCATCAATACCTATCGATTGACCTAAAAAAAAGTTTGCCACGCCCACTTTAACGCCCACAAACCGCGAAAACCTGTGACGCCCACAATTTTTATGCTAGATAAAAAATTTTAACTGAAATGTATTCGTCTCGTCAATACCTATCGATTGATCCAAAAAAAAGTTTGCCACGCCCACTTTAACGCCCACAAACCGCAAAAACCTGTGACGCCCACAATTTTCATGCTAGATAAAAAATTGTAACTGAAATGTATTAGTCTCGTCGATACCTATCGATTGATCCAAAAAAAATTTGCCACGCCCACTCTAACGCCCATAACGCTTAAATCTGTATACCGCCGGTAGGTGGCGCATTTTAATCTCGCTTTGCTGCTTGCATATCTCCATTTAGCTGAGTAACGGGTATCTGATAGTCGAGGTACTCGACTATAGCGTTCTTCCTTGTTTTTTACTGAGGCTTTGTCTTTGGCGCCGTCTAGCTCAAAAATGTCTAAAAATGTCATTAATTAGAATTTGCAGCGTGTCAGGTCTGTGCCATCCGTCGTCGCTTGTCTGGCTGTTTGGCATTAAAATGTTATATTCACCAAAAGGCCAAAAAGACCAAAAAGGGGGACCAGACCGCATTGAAATGTTTCTGGAATTCCCCCGCCGCAAAAAAGAAAGCAATCGCCGAGAGTCCGCCACAAGAAAAATTAGCCAACGAGCGCGTGTTTGCCAAAAGCCAAGAGAGTTAAAAATAATCATAAATAAAGGTAGGGAAATAAAGCAAACGGCGTCGAGACAAAAACCAGTCGGAGATGCCGTTGGAGAATCCAGTGTTGGGTCGATGGGGCCAGTGGCTCGGGGTCCGGACGGGCCCCACTCTAAGCCACTGAGCCACTGAACTGCCGAGCCACTCTGAACCACACGCGCCGCGCTTTTGTCATAGCCCGTCATAGTCCACGCGACTGCAGCTGAATTCACACGCTTCATTGTGGCTTATTATTTTTTTATTCCACCTTTTTGATTCCATTTGATTGTATTCCGCTTCGTGGAATTCGCGGCGACATTCCCAGCACACTCCGTATATGGTATATAGTATACACAGACATGTGGATATGGATAATGGCCCACAGTCGGGCTTGTCTATTGGAAACGCGAATCGGGTCTAGTTTCCTAGGCCAGATTTGCATCTCAAATGAGGGATCTGCAAATTTGAGCACCTCTGGCGATCCAGATTGCGATCAGATCTAGTTTCGCATTTCCATTGTTAATTCACAAACTTTGGAATATTTCAATGGAATTTATTGCGTTATGCCTTTTCATAAAATTGACACTTTTAATGGGAAATTATATTACCAACATAACATAGTTTTGAATTAAAAGGGAATTATAATATAGAATTTTGTACAAGAAAAATGTATCGTAGGGTAGAACCTATACTCGTTACTTTTAAAAAATTATAACTTTTCATTTCATTTACATATGTTAGTTGTATTTATAAGTTGGTGTATGATTGATGTATAAAATTTCCTAATTGATAGTAATTGGTTGCCAATTTATTCATTGATTGTTATTCATAATATTATTTTCAATCTATTTAATAAGTTTACTAGTGTAAGTTAGGCACCAGAGTTATCATGTTATTTTATAGAGGTGAATATCCACTGTAGGTAATTGCTACTTTCCGACATTTAATTTGCGGCTGACGTTCTGTCAATTAGCTCAATGGAATGGGCCAGAGCCTGTGTGTGGGCGTTTGATTGATGTTACAAACGCCGCCACCGTGCGATACTCAAATATGATAATGCAGGTGACCCACCAACTCACAAACAGGTGTCACTGGCAGGGGATTGGTATTGCGAATGGAATGGGATCCGAAGGGGATATGGCAGCCAGCCCCTTTGGAAGTCCAGTCGTGCTGGTATTCCCCCCAATGAATTGCCTGCAAAAGCAGATAAAAGGCCCCATAAATCAAGAGTATGTAAATAGTTTAACGCGTGTGTGTTCTACTTTATTTGTTCATTAAAGCTTATGAGCTTTGCTTTTGTTAAACAAAAAAATAATCTATACTAATAATATATATACAAAATTTATTTTAATCAATAAAGGAATATAACAATCTATTTTCAACAGTCCATCAAAACTGTTTAGCTATTCTTAAGCATATATAATATAATTTTGTCTCGTTATTGAGCATTATTGCAGATCTATTTTTCTGTGTGCTTAAAGAGTGATGGAGTGGGCCAACTAAACTTCGATTATCAGAAATCAAAACGAGCTTGGGTTCTAAACTCTTGATTTCTTGGAATAGATCCATCGGAGCTGCGAATCGTGGCACGTTTTGGTAATTATGGCTCAGTGCACACTGACTGCCAAAAGTCCACAACGTCGAGCGTCTTTGTTTACCCTCTTTCAGTGTTTCGCAAACGCGTGCTATGTATGATCTGCGTGTCTCTACAAATCTTAAGTATCAACACTTTTTTTTGTTGCTTTCTTGCGAGCCAAGTTGTCAAATGGTCAGTGCAGAAGCTTGCGTAAGAAGCCCCTCAATTTTTTTTTGGTAGTAGAATTGCTTCCTTCTGCTCTGTATTTTTTTCGGCTTAAATGAGCGCGTGTAAGCGTCACGCTTCGGTCTTTTTTCTTTTGGCATGGTTTTACGTAAAGGTATTATTGAACCCGAAACGTTTAAAAAATCGTGAAATCTGAAGAGGCATTTTCAGTTGGGGATAGCCGTATTATGACGAATTTCCAAGCACTTACATACCTGCGAATTTCTTTCGCGCTGTTTGTGTTAATAATAAAAGCACTTGTAAGAAATTTTTAATTTTTTTATGTAGCATTCGATTATTCTAAAAAGTTATGTGTTCTAATTACCTAACAATTTGTATTCATCGCACGATTACGAGTGCTATTATTTCATTGATTTGTATTTCGTAATATCATCTGTAACGTTAAGGCTTTGCTTATGACATTAGATAATCGAATAGGTAATAGAATATATAATCGTATAAATAAAATTAAAATTTTAATTATACATACAACGTTTTAGTAACAGTATCTTTAAAGTATTAAACAAATAGAAAATACTTTTTCATACAAAATAAATATTTTACTATTTTTGCTTTTATAAAGCTTCTTCTAAACTTAACTTTGACTCAGTACAGAAACTCACACCAAAATTATGCAATGCCACAAGCAATTATAAAGACCAACAAATAGGTCAATAGTCATATAGTTTTCGACTTATGTTTCATGTTTCTGCCGGTGACGCCCGACGTAGGGTGACGCCACCCTTTTTAATTGCAGATCAGTAACTTCTCAAGTCACAACAAATAAAAGCAAAAGAAAAATCGAAAAAAAATGCACAATGTCAACCGAACTGGAATTCCGATCCAAAGTCAATGCAATGCTTATGTAACCCCCACAAAGACACTTTAACCCGCGTATTACGCAAGCGAGCCGAAAATAAAGAAAGGGGAGCGAAAAGAAAATATTTATGCTGGAAAAGGGAAATGTTTTGGGAGAAATTGCACAACGCTGTGACCTAGTGAGGTGCTCCAATAATAAAGGGTATTATCTCGACACGCGCCAGCTCCATAAAATCTGATTGGGATTTTCTCGCGGTTCGTGCATTTAAATACTTGAGTACTTTTTATACGTAGTTACTAATAAAAAAATGCATAATATCTGATTTTTTTAAATTGGAAAATTGTATAATGTGATATTACAAATTTACAAAATCGAAAATGTATAGATATATTACAAATATTTTGGAAAAACCTTACAAAATCAAACAATTTTAGATATGTTAAAGAAATTTTGGAACAATGCATTATGCCTTTAAACTTTTTAAGCCCCATATACCTAAGGGATACTTTTCTCATCTCTCTGATAATTCCGGGTAATGCCGAAACAGACTTATCCAGTGTGGTCAGTGGCGACGGCACCAGAAGTTGGGATTACGCCGGAAAACGAGGGGCTATAGCCGGACGATCTGGCATGGCGACAGAGCAAGAGTCATCAACGGGTGGAAAAATAACAAAAGCTCATGAGCAAACAACAAACAACGCGACGACGGAAACGGAGGCCGCTTCGTTGGTGAGGGGAGGGGGTGCTGAGGGGGAGCGGGTGAGCGGA